GGGTTTAGGGTTTATAAGCCCTAAACAGGGCTTCAAGGTGTAGGATGAAAGTTCGACCATCCAAGTATGCGGCTGTCTAACTCAAGCCTGACAGCCTAGAGGCCTTAAGCTCATCTGAAGCCGTTTTCAGAACCGGTAGTGAAGACACATATGAACAGCAAAAGCTGAAGAGAAATAGCCAGGCAAGAAGAGCGACTGCAACGACAGTTGGAGGAGTCCCGGCAGCAGGTCATCCAGCTCGAGGCAGCAACCCCAGTTGCAGCTCGTTTTTTTTTTTTTTGTTGGGGGGGNNGGTTGAGGGTTTCAGTTCCAGGGTTTCATAACGGATTCATTAAGAGCTCGTAAAGGGCCGTTGGGGTTTAGGGCGTGGGGGGTTTTAGGGTTTAGACTTACAGTCAGAGGCAGACATGTCACACCAGACCTCAAAAGCTGCCAGGATATAGACTGTGACCCTATCATATTTTGACCTACAAACCCGGAAAGCCTTCACCCTGAACCACAAGAAACCCTTAACACCTGAAGTCCTAAAGCCGCAAGTCCAAGACAACAAAAACGTTCTAAACCCGAATCGACTCCAAGAGCCCTAAGCCCTAAACCCTANNAGACATACGGTTAGGGTTTAGGGTTTAGGGTTTAGGGTTTAGGGTTTAGGGTTTAGGGTTTAGGGTTTAGGGTTTAGGGTTTAGGGTTTAGGACATACCGTGGTAACTGGCCTTCAAAGGGTTTTGAGCCGACGACCACCCTGAGAGGCCGCGGCAGCAGGCTTTGCCGAGGCAGCAGTTGCCCCCAGTGGATGCAACCAGAATCCGATTATTCAGTATAGGGGGTAGGGTTTAGGGTTTAGGGTTTAGGGTTTAGGGTTTAGGGTTTAGGGTTTAGGGTTTAGGGTTTAGGGTTTAGGGTTTAGGGGCCTGAATATTTACCTATACTCTTTTGGGGGTTCCTGATTATATCCAGAGTAGAAAAACACCAAAACCCTATTCTAATTATACAGGTTTTTATATTAGGTTTGAGTCTTGGGTGTCTTGTTTTCTGAAAATCCCCTTGTAGAGTTTAGTGGTGAGGGATTCGCGGGGGCTTTGAGATTGGGGTTGGTTGTGGGGTTTTGGGCGTTTAGGGTCTGGGTTAAGCTGTTTATTATACTCCTAAACCCTAAACCCTAAACCCTATACTCCTGAACCCTAAACCCTAAACCCCTAAACCCTAAATCCTATACTCCTAAATCCTAAACCCGAAGTAACCCTAAGCCCTCTTGAAACAGAGGATCCTGCTGAACCCTGGGGTCCCTGATTCTCCGAAATGTGTCTGGGGTTTAGGGCAACTCTATTGGGGCTTAGGGCAGCTCTATTGGGGTTTAGGGTTCAGGGTTTGGGGTTTAGGCATGTAGGGTTTAGGGTTTAGGGTTTGGAGTTTAGGGTTTAGAGGATTTAGGGTTTAGGGTTTGGGGTTTAGGGTTTAGGAGTTGAGGGATTTAGGGTAATTACCTTAACCCACCAGAACCTCCTCTGTTCTAGGGGCCCTTTAAATCTCATGTATGTTAGGGTTCTTACGGTTAAAGTCCGGCTTCGGGTTGAGGATTTAAGGTAAGGGTTCAGGGTTTAGGGCTCTAGGGTTTAGGCTTGGGGTGGTGTCAAGGGTCCGGATGTTATACAACAACACGGTCAATTTTTAGGGGGTCTTGATTGAAAGGTGTCTTTTATGCCAAAACCTTAAGCCGTCATCTAGAATCTAGGGTTAAGGTTTGAGGGACTTCCATATGGGAAAATCATTGATGGCACGACACAGCTGTGACATGGACGAAGAGTGTGCCACAACGCATCAGAGTATGATGTCCTTGGGGTGTTCTCAATGCTTATGTAGCCCAGCCCAGCCCCAGCCCCAGCCCCAGCCCCAGCCCCAGCCCAGCCCAGCCCCAGCCCCAGCCCCAGCCCCAGCCCAGCCCCAGCCCCAGGCCC